TAGTTTTACACTCAAATCTTGGTCATATTAATTTTCTGATTTGCATAATTAGTTTTCAGCTAAGTAATTTCGAATTATATTTAATGTGTCTCCAATACTCTCAGCACATGGGAGTTCTTTCTAAGCTTTCTTTGATTTAGACTTAACATTCGGTTTAAAACCGTTTTCAATTTGACTGTGTAATTCTCTTTTGAGAAGTTGTTGTACAGACTGCTGAATTGATCATGGAGTTCTTGCCTTTCATTTGTATATGTGATATGAAATGTATTTTGTCTTCTGTTATTTTACATATTTTTAAAATTCTTTCATCAGTAAGTGTTGTGGAACGTTATAACTCCCAACTTCACTTTATAGGCCATAGCAGGTTAGTCTTAGTTTGGCTGATGTTTTAATATCTTGATATTATTTCAGAATGTTTAGGGTGCACATTCAATTGTATTATTTAAAAGTTTGTATGTGCATGGTTTAAGGATTTAATTTATTGTTGGTCTCATTCCAGATCTTGTATATTGATCTCTTGATGTGTCATAGAATTTCTGTGTTTTTTTTTTAATTTGGTCAATGTCAATATTGTAGTTGTTTTTGATTATATTTAGATAATGTAACAAAGAGTTTTTGTAACAGTTTTGTTTTAGTTCCATTGTAGCATCATCTGCAAATGTTATTGGTACATTGTAAATCAGGTTTTGATGGTAGTTGATTACTGAATAATTGATACCAGTGATATGTCGTTGATAAAGATATTGAAAAACGTTGGGCTCAATGGGCAACCTTGCTTAACGCCATTTTCTAATTCACAAGTTGGGTGATAATCTTCCATCCAGTTGAACTTTTTAACATTGTATAATGATCTATACATGTTGTATTTCTGTAGTTTGCATAACAGTCCATCTCTCCGGACATTGTCAAAACACTTCCTAAGGTCCACAACGCAGGTTTAAAGTTTCTTTTTTGCAGATATTTTTTAATTTAATCATTATGCTCAGAGGTATGTAGTTCAGTGATTTTTTCTGAAACAACATGATTTTGTGTATAGCATTAGTGGTTTCTAGATATTTAACAATTTTTCTTGTATTGCTGTTTGTGGCAATGCCACAGTAGTTAGAAGGGTTAGATGTATTGCCTTTTTGACTCCCATGTGCGAAGCACAAAATGGGAGTCTTTGCAGTTAGTGTGTCTGTGTGTGTGTGTGTGTGTGTGTGTGTGTGTGTGTGTGTGTGTGTGTGTGTGTGTGTGTGTGTGTGTGTGTGTGTGGAGTGTGTGTGTATGTGTGTCCGACTGTTCCACTGCTATCTCAAGAACCATACATCGGTTTTTGATGAAACTTGGTGCATAGATGCTCTGGGCCAATGCGCAGATTTGATTAGGTT